TGTAAATACCCAATGCAATAATATTGTCATGTTTCCCGATATGAAGCTTAATGGGTACCAGTACTCCGAGTAATGTTTGAGTTCCGTATGGACGTTGTTAAGTCAGAATTACTCCTCTCCAGCAGTTGAAAGTTGTGTATTGTTCCCGGAAGAATTGAGATTCTTACCCCGCATCAGAGTAGGATCAGGAGTATCCCTAGCAGATTAAGATTGATATCCTTGATAGTAGGGACATTTCCAGCAACGTGCTGCGCGCAATCAACCCCAGTTCGGGTCAATCCCCGCAGAGCCCAATCAGTTGCCAATGGTTTGAAGAGAGCATCCCCGAGCAGAGTTGTTTCTTTCTCCCCAAGCAGGGTTGCCTTTCCATTTCTCCAGCAGGACGGTTATCCCCAGTGGGTGTGGTTTCCCTTTTCTAGCATTTATTTTGCTGAGATGATTCTGTGATATCAGGGTACCTTCAGTGGAGTTGACGTTGCCTTCGGCATTTATTTTGCCAAGCGGTTTGAAGACCTGGTGTTCTCTGGCAGCTAGAGCTTACATTAGCATTTGCATATATCGTCAGATTTGCATCTATCAAAATACATAGCATATTCATGCCGTACGGGGAATTGCAGTTACAAACGCATAACATTCACATGTCATATAGGGCATTGCATCATTTCAAGAATACGCATGTCGAAACATAGATCAGGGTGGTTACCTATTGGCTTTCGAATTTGTTCACCTGCAGAGTTGTTTGGTTAAGCTTCTCTTCTCCATCAGCGGAGTGATTTCTTCACATCTGGTTGTTACGTCAGCACTGGGAAAAAAAACAACAACAAAGATTGACACATATCGAATTTCTGAAGCTGCCGCCTTCGTCGAAATAGGTGCCAGGCAGTTCAATTCAGAATTCCCCATGAGAGTTTCCTCAGGTTCGCCGTGAACCATGAGTCGACAGAAAAGATCCCATAACAGATGGGAAGGTGTTTGCTTTTTTGAAGCATTATTCCGAAGAATCAGCATATGTGGCGTCACACAGGTGATTGATGGTGGAAAAAAAACAACAGAAAATTTATCAGATAATTGACCAGTTGTTGCCGTGACAATCAGACTTCAGTTTATTAGACGCTATTTCTCAAACAGCTTCGCAGTTTATTTTTGCGGTTGGCAAATTTCAGGGTTCCATTTGTATTCAACCATCTTCTACCTTTGAATGATCAAAGGCTGGGCGCTCTTCAACCATTCAGGTCCAAGCTGCTTGAATAGGGGCAGCTGTTGCACCCTAAAATTTGACCAACCGGGTCCCGCATCTGGTCCTTGTTTCGACGCATTTCGCATTTCGCATTCACATACTGCATATAGTGCATTTTCTCAATCATGGTGATTTTATCGGGATTACAGCCCTGCTGTCGCATTTTGGGTATTTCAGGTTATTTTGGGAAGTCGCGCGCTTCCTGGGTGTTTTCGGCTTACGCAGTGATTTTTGAGATTTTTGGTGTTCGGGTTACTGTTTGTTTCGATCTGGTCTCGCGCTCTCTTTTATATTGGTTATTTGCTTTTGTCTGCATTTTTAGGATTTAATAGCTTCTTGTAGATTTTAAATAGGCTTTATAATTTTTTTTAGAATTTAAATAGATTTTTTAATCATTTTTAGAATATTAATAGGTTTTTAAATAGTTTTAATAGCTTTAAAATCAATTTTAGAATATTATAGAATTTAAATAGATTTTTTATCATTTTCTTAATAGAATCATATAAATTTTTCTTTTATTAATAAGAGGATTTCTTTTATATAAATAATATAGATTTTATTTTAGATAATATAGAATAATTTTCAATAGTTTTTAGATATTGATTAATTGGGATTGTTAGGTCTTGATCTTGTGTTTAGTTAGTTAATTAGATTTAAGGTCTTTAATTAGTTCTTAATCAGGTTTAATCCATTTTAATCCATTTTAATCAGGTTTTTGGTTTTTTTAAATCATTTTCGTATTGGGCCCAATTGGTGTGAAAGCCCAAGTTAGCAGAGTCCAAATTCAATTGTCCTATAAAGTCTTGAAGCCACGCGTGTATGCAGATGGAGGGATCCACGTTTTCACTCAGAAGCAACCCACGTCACTTTCCCACTACCACTCTCCCAGACCACGTGTAAGCCATGCATTCACCCTCTCCACCAACCACTGCCACTTGTCTAACTCTGAAGCTTCACCGGTTGCATGGCCGGCGGCCATGCAACCCCCGCCTCCAACCGTCTCCGATGACCACAACTACCAATCGCCGGTGACCCCAACCTACTCCGGCCACCATCAATCTCGCCGGAGACACCAAAAACCCTAAAACATCCAGAAATCGCCAGAATTCCATCTCTTCCGATCAACCTCACCAATAACGTTTTCCAGTTTCCGATCATCATCATCATCGGTGTTCAAACTTCATCCCCTCCGATCAACCTTCACCTTCAACCGATCATCATCTCCATCCAATCATCATCACTTTCGCCAGTTTCCTAACATCATCACAACATTCGTCATCAAGATCCCTGGAAATTTAACAGAAATCCATAGTGTTCTTCATCAAGAACATGGATCCAGAAATTCTCGTGGGTCTTCGTTCATCAGGTTCATCGCAAGCCTCCAAGTGATCTTCGTCAGATTCTTCATAACATCTCCAGAAAATTCTTCGCAAGAACGTCGTTTTTCCAGACATCGCACGGATCTTCGCCTTCTCCGATAAAGACCCTCAACGGAAGCTTCATCACAGGCTCATGCATGTTTTTACCAGAACTTGCATCAAGATTCCTGCGCGTTTTCCAGAAGTTCCTCCAAGTGCTTCGCCATCTTCAAAACGATGTTCATCAAGGATCCTCAATATCTTTTTCAAGAAAGTTTCATCAGATTCATCACGAGCAATAGATCTTCAACTTCTTCTGGAGACTTCGAGTCTTCTTCAACGACTCAAGAACTTCATATTCTTCAAACGATCTTCAACACAGGATGCAAGATCTTTATCTTCCAACTATGTTCTTCATATCATCTTCAACAAATCTCTACCAAAGGATCCACAAGCCTTCACCGAGAGCCTTCAAGAATCTTCGCGAGCTTCGTCAAGTTCAAGTGCCATCTTCGTCTGATCTCCGCCATTGTTGCGTCGTTCGTGTGATGTTTGAGGGAAACAAGGAGGAATGAAGAAGGATAGGGATTTCTGGTGTTGGTTGGAGTAAAGTGGAAAAGAAGAGGCCAAAGACGGTGAGGGAGTTGTGAATGGTGACGGCGGCGGCGGTGAATGTGAGGGAGAAGGACTAGGGTTTCAGAAAGGGAAATGAGTGTGAGGGAGGGGACAAGGGAGTTGGACTCAGTGGGCATGGGCCTTGGGCCTAATTCATTTCCTAGTTCGCACCCCCATTTTTTTGATATCCACCCTCCGTTTCTGTGTTTTTTGGAGGGACCATGGGCTGGGCCTAATGTTTTTGCTGGCATCACCCCAGTTCATTCACAGTACCCCCTCCCCCGTTTTTGTTGTATACTGGGCTGGGCCCAGTTTGTTTTTATTTTTCTGCAGCTAGCATACCCCCTGTAACCAGTGTACCCCCCTCCCTTTATATTTTCTTTTACATTTTTCTATATAGTTTTATGAGAAAAAAAAATGAAAAAGAATAGTTTGAGAAAAAGAAATACAATAAGAATGTTGAGAAAAAGGAAAAAGAAAAAGAAATATTGAAAAAATATATGAAGAAAATATATTGAAAAAGGAAAAAGAGATGAATAAAAAATAGAGAAAAAGAATGTTTTGAAAAAAGATTGAAAAAGAAACATGAAAAAAGAATAGAAGAAAAATAGTAAGAAAAATAATAAGAAAATATATTACTTTGCAGATTCAATATTTTTTATAGATATTTTTCATAGGAGTTTATTTTACCATTTTTAGGGATAGTTTAGAAGTCCACTTGTTAGGGGACTATTTTCCATTCGATTTTCTCCAGATGAATAGGATAGTATTTCCTAGGGGTTTATTTTCAGTATTCAATCATTGTAACCATTTTTCAGAATGTTAATAAAACGAGATTTGAGCTGTGGTCCCGAAGTAGCCGAACTACAGCTGCTCTGATTCCTCGTACCAGACGAGGATATGTAGGCATAGGATGCGATATCCTAGCGAGCACACTAACAACTAACCTCTTTGTTCTCTCGCTGCTGTGCGATCGAGACCTTCCCGCTGACGACTAATTGTTACCCTTTTTCTCTCTTGCCCGAGTGCATTTGAGACCAGACCGTAGTCTTTCCCATAGGTTCCCGTACCTTTAAAACCAGATTAATTTCTCACTGCTGTGTGAGAACACCCAGTTTAGCCGTAGTTAGCCTGAACTACGAAAGCTCTGATCTTCCACGCAGTATGGAAGTACGCAGGCACAAGACGCGAGGTCTTGGCGAGCCAATTTCTCTGTAGTTTCCCGAACTACGTTGACTATGACTTTCTCTCTTGAGAATACGTAGGCATAGAGTGCGACACTCTATCGAGTCAATTCCCTTCCGTTTAGATTTAGCAGCCGTAGATAGATTGTTTTGCATCCTTTAGACAACCCAAGCAAGCGTGGATCCCGTCGAGTACGACGGACGTGAGGGGTGCTAATACCTTCCCCTTGCGTAACCGACTCCCGAACCCAGGTTTTGGTTGCGACGACCATACCTTTTCCCGTTTTTTGCGAGGTTTACTTCGAGCGTTTCCTTTCCCTCCATTGGGATAAATAACGCACGGTGGCGACTCTTCTGTCAGTCGGCGCCGATTTTCGCAGTAGCGACAATTTGCATCAACAAACATTGGGAAATAAAAATGGTAATAGTATGACAACAAGCGCTATGGATAGCATTCTTAAAGAATTGAAGACTCACTTTTCAGACAAACCAATTTCCAAAGAAAAAATAAAAGATCACATGAAACACCTCAAAACATAGTTCAATTCTTGTTATGACCTTTTCCAGAATGGCTTGAGTGGGTTTGGATGGGATTCAACAACAAATATGTGGATTTCCGAAGATGAAGTTTGGAACAAGCTAATTGAGGTATTATTTACTATAATTGTTTTATACACTTACCCGATTATTTTTATTTGAGTTCACTCATTAAAAACTTTTTAAGTGATGCATTGTTTCGTTGGTGTAGACAAAACCCGAAGCTGCTGAATGGAAAAACAAGCCAATATTATTTTATGATAAATTGGCCAAACTTTTTGGAAAAAATCGAGCAACAGGAGAGCATGAAGGTACAACTGCTGAAATGAGAGCAAAAAAGGCTGCAAATGTTGAAAAAAAGTCATGGCACAATCATCGAAGAAATAGACCACTTAGTTGAAACCAATGTAGTTATTTTGGAGGGATTTGATGATGCTGAACATCATTCCAACAATTCTCCTACAAGGCCTTCTATTACCAATTCTCAAGATGTATCATCATCTAGGACTAAGAAGCGAGTAAAGAAGGTTATTTAATATGATACAAGCATGATTGAGATTTCCAAAACTTTCAAAAAAATGGTTGATGTGTTTGAAATGAATTCCATGGAGCTAGTCAAACAGAGTAAAAATGTTAATGGTGGAGATATTTGAGCTGAATTGGTCGAGATTGGGGTTGAATCAAGTTCTTTGTCTCTTGTATACATGTACCTTGTTAAGAATGCCGATGCATTGAAAGCTTTTAATGGAATTCCAATCGACAAGCAGAAGGAAATGTTACATCTCATTGTTCCAGACTATCCCTTTAGATAATAATAACATATTTATTTATCACTTTTGAGTATTTTTTTTTTAATCTTTAACGAATGAAATATTTGCGTAATTTATTTTATTTTATTTTTGCAGGTTTTGTGGAATGTTTAAAGAAGAGTCATTATCTATTATGGACCAATATTTGTCTTTCTATTAGCAAGACTTGATATCATTATCTACTATAGACATATATTTATCATTTAATTTTAGCAAAACTTGATTTTGTTTATGAATTACTATGAATACCCAGTATGGTGTTAATCAAAACTTGTGCACTTGGTCTTTGCAATTTCAAGTTATAATAACCGTGTTTCATTTATGAACATTTTAATTTATTACTGTATGTTTTAATTTCTTTCAAGTGTTAAGTTGATATTTTTCTATGATTACTTATATATTATTTTAGTGTGAGAATGTTGGATCTATCAATATTGTAGTAAAGGGTAAAAATGGAATAAAAAAGTTATAATGTTTTCCGCTCTGTCCAATTCCTAAACAGTGGAATGAGATATTAGTTCTGTTTCGTTGTAAAATATCCAAACAGTGGAATGGAGTTTATATTCCGTTCCATTCCACTCCATCTTATTCCGTTCAGCTCCATTATTTTTAAATTATCTAAACATAGCCTTAGGCAACCAACATTTTCTACACCAAATCAAATAGCACAACCATGGTTTCAAAACACACATCGCAACAATAATAACAACCAATCAATCATTACAAGAGCATAACAAATATTGAGTTAAAACAGAACCGTTGCTGAAGAACCATGACATTACAATAATGAGACCACGACGAAATCAAGACGAAGAAGGTGAAAGGCTAGTGCAAAAGGGCCAATCGAAGAACTTTCCTCCAGCAGACACTTCATACACTGCGCAGTTCGTTTTTTCCTTCATCCTCTCGGTATTCATTTTCCTTTCCCCCGTCGTTTCCATTTCACACACTCACTATTATATCACTGAGTTAATAAGGTTCCTTTTACTCCCTCTATGACCGAATCTGCGTGTCTGATTTTGATTTTAGAACTTTGTTCTTATTTTCTAAAACTCGTCAATTAGGGTAGGTTTATTTTATTTCCATTATTATTATTTAAGTAACTTAATATTTATTTATTTTTTAAAATGTACTTAGTTCTAAATATAAAAAAATGATAAAAAAAATATATTTGATAAATAGATTTCTATTTATTTAGGTAGTTAGTTTTTAATATGTAAAAAATCTCAATATATATATATATATATATATATATATATATATATATATATATATATATATATATATATATATATATATATATATATATATATATATATATATATATATATATATATATATCAAAATACCAAAAATCCAAAAAGATATTTTAATTTTAAGCATAAAGTGTGTTCTTTTTCTTTATATTTTTATTATTATCATTTTGTTTTTATTCATTGTATGTTTAATATGTTTAGATATCAATTATTATTACATTGTATCCTTTCAATTGACAAATGTATCTCTACTCTATTGTTTATAATTGTATATTTGTTGCCCTCCTTCATTTATATAGGTAAAAATTAACTAATTAGATAGAAAAAATATATATAAAACCAATCTTTCAAAGAATAAATCAATAATTTGGTGAACACCAAGTTTCATTTTCAAAAGCATTGGTCAATACTAATTTCTCACCATACCTCATTCTATTATCAAACCTTTTTTAAAACCATCAACCTTTTCCACCCCTCTCTCAAAACATTTTCAAAAACTTCCAATCACTTCAAACACTTTTCATAATCGTGAATAAAAGTTTGACCAAATGTCAAGCCATTTTCTTAACCAAATTCAAAACACTCTAAAAATGTGATTAGGATTGCGTGCCACAATTCTTAAATGGTGACGAAGTAGTGAGAATGGAGTTTTCCTACCCTCACTCTGAATATTTTGGACACAAGATGTTTGACTTGGTTGTTTGAAATATTCACACCTACTCATAGTATTTAGTGTAATTCAAATAAAAAACAATCTTATTTTCAATCTAAAATACATCAAACTCATTCAAGTCTTTTTGCCTTTTGGCACAACCAAAAATCTTTTTCAAAAACGAAAGACATTTTATCTTAAGATAATGCAAACCAATGCTTCATCTACAACCGTTGAGCTAATATAAGTGGCATGAATGAGATTTGTAAATTCATTCAATGTCGTGTAAGCGTCCGCTCCACACATGTTTTGGATAAAATAATATTTTTCGTCGATTAATAAAAGACAACTTTCACTAAAATCGACCAACAAACAAACTTATTTTACCCAGAACTATGTTTGCCTTGATTTCTCTTTTGAGATACGTAGGAGCAGGATTGCAAAATCTTGTTAGGCCCCCTAATAATAAAACCTTTTTAGGTCATTTTCTCATTTCTTTTCCCTCTTAATAAGTTGAGAAGTCTAACTTTTAAGCAAACACTAACACTCATAACTAGCTTAACGGTTCCCGTTGAGTACAACAAGCGTGTGGGGTGCTAATATCTTTCCCTTGCGTAACCGACTTCCGAACTCAAATATTGGTTGCGATGACCATATCCTTGTCTTTCTTTTAGGAGTTTTATTCGATATTTTCTCTTTTCCTCTATGGAAGTAAATAAAGATCAGTGACGACTCTCTTAAGTCCATCATACGAGCGTGAGATTGCGCTTTACGAGGTCGTTCTCATTTTTCGAGGTACGACATCTGACACCCCACATTTAAAGTTGTTTTACCATTATACCTTTCATTAAATACCGGTATTTTCAAAATATGTCTGCTTGTATCGAAAATTTGTAGTATTAACCGACAATTTGCGAAAAATTACATTTTTTTACCAAAAGAAAGGTAAAGTACATGTAATTTAGAATTTTCGGTATATATATACGAGAACTTCTGAAATTTCTAGTAAAGACATGTGCTCTCTTACTGGAAATTGTGAAATTTACGATATTTACCACAAAATTTCGAAAATGTGAAATTTCTGGTATTCAATGAGATAAAATTTTCATTTTTTTCTATATTAATTTTTCTCGAATTCTAAACTCGATAAAAAAAATTACCCAATAAAATATATACATATACTAAAAAGTGTGCTACATATAAGAATACAAAACAAATTAGGATGACTTCCTAACTTCGTCTTTCCAGTGTCTGATGCGTCTCGCGTATGCTGATTCTCATGCTTTTGCATCTTCAATTCAGTTATGTCTCTAATGGCCAGTGAGGGGAGACAATGGACAATCAAATTTCAATTTTACCTGAACCCTATGATTATTGTTGATAAAACCAACGACAATAACTTATGTCTGCTCGTATACATAGGTGAAACTAAGGCAAAAGAAAAAAATGTGATGTTAAGTCTCTTGGACAGGGAGACAAATATGATATTGTATCTACAAGTAATAGGGTAACTCATATTAAGAATCAACGTCCATTTATCAATTTCATGCACATCCAAGTGCTCTACTTGTAATTCCTTATGAGAAAATATTGCTTTCAGATGCATTCTTTCTTTTGTAGTTTTCTCCTCTCTCACAACCCATAATCAATTTATCTTTCCTACCTCGCTTTCTATTTGTAGTATCAGAATGAACTGTGACAACAATAATACCATGCTATTTACCAATAGTTTATGACCATTCTAAACTTCAGATCGAGACTAAAATATATGTCATTTACAACATATAAAGAGTAAACTATCATTATCATAGAGACGAGAAAACCTTTAAATTAAACCTGTTACATAAAAAACATATAGTATAAGTGGTAAAGAACTAGGTAAAATCTATACATGAATATGTAGAAGACTCTATCAAATCTAAATCAGACAAGTAAAACATTATTTTGCACTATCGAAAATTATAAATATAGGCAAAAAAATTTATATATCAAAAAATTTTAAATTTCCTAAAGTTTACGTTGCTAACCAAAACTTTTTAAAATTGTCAATATATTTTTAGTTTTTTTCAGATAAATACCCGAATTTTTAAAATTTCCAAAAAAAGAAAAATCAATAAAAATACTTGTTTTCTAAAAAATGCAAAAATAATCGTTCCAGAAATTTAGTTTTGTAAAGAATAATAAAAGTAATTTTTATTGAAGAAATATAAATTTTAATTAATAAATAATAACAGTTTCGTGAATATAAAAACATGGGTTTGACATGTTAAATTCTCTGTTAACCCCTCAACTAGAAGACATCCAATCCTTTTGATAAGTAACAAATGAATAAGATTAATGATTGATTCTTGCACCCAGGTCAATGTAAATTTTCTCAACTAAGATATTCTTAAGAGTGACTAATGCAACTCTATTAATATCATTTTCTTTCTAGAGAGAGAGAGAGTTCTCTAGATGATTGCACTACAACTAGTTTTAATTTTAAAAAAATCCTCAACATTGTATTCCTTTGATTACAGCTATTGAAGGAATAAAAATGATTGTGATTTATTTGACTAAAACAATAATTTTGTAAAATGCATGACCAATTAAGTTTAAAAAATTGTCTAATGAAGACTAAATAGATAAAGTTAAACAATAAAAAGTATAAACTATGAAAGCAAAATTGAATGAAAATTAAGAGCAAAGAGACTAAATCATAAGATAAAAATTGGATGTAATATTTTTTAATCATTTTAATTTATAGAATTTATTTTATAAAAAAAATTAGTTTTTTTATAAGAATTTTAGTTTTTTAATAAAAAAAAGTTTTTTTTTTTTATCAATATAGAAAAAAAATTATCTTTAGGGAGACCAACTTCTTATCACATATCTAAGACAAAAACACAACAATACACAAGGACACAGCATATATAGCAATAGTTCATTGCACCACAGAACTAGTGAATCTGATATATTGCTCAACTTTTTGTTCTTTCTATCATTAGAATAGTACTCTGAGATTCCTAGTCAGATACACCAAGCAAGCAATATGCTGAATCATATCATACCAATCTATTCTCTGCTGAAAATTGAACATCAAATAACCTCTGTCTAGCCTTCATTGCCTGCATTATCAAAAACCACACAAATGAAATTAATACCTAAAAGAAAACTACCTCATAATCATTATAGCATCATTTTTATCCAAAGGTTAAATGGCATACCAGTTGCTCCCAATTTATACAACTTGTTATGATAGAAAGAAGAACACATTGAACAAAAGCACCAACTTGTATACCAATCCAAAGTCCTTTCCCTCCCACTTGAACCCAAAATGCCAATGCAGCAGCAACAGGAATCCCACACAGGTAGAAGGCCCCCAGATTCACATAAACTCCTAGGTGTTGCCATCCACAGCCTCTAGCGATCCCTGAATCAAAGAATAGTAAAACGGAATATCATGTTAGAATTAGTTGAATATCATGTAAGGTATTAAAGTTAGTTATGCCGAGAGGGGATTTTACCAGCAAGAACACCTTGTAAGCTGTCCAATATAACAGATATACAAACCAGAGGAGCCATGACAGTTACATAATCAACTACTTCCTTATCATTGCTGAAAATGTAACCATAGACATGGCGGCATGCAAGAAGGGTTGCACTCACTATACTTGTTTCAATGAGTGATAGTGACAAAGCACCTAACACAGCAACGCGTGCTTCAAATGGATTCCCAGCTCCTAGTTCATTTGAAACTCTTGTACTATAATATTTCAGAGACAAAGAACAATAATTCTATTAGACATAACTTCAAAGGGTAGAATATTAAGAATGAATATTGTTTATGTTAAACTTTTAACCTTGCTGCAGCACCAATTCCAAATGGTACTGTATAGAGAGTTGCGATGGTATTGAGACTATATAAAAATGGAAAAATTAATTAGCGAAAAACTCACAAGATAATTAAGATTAATGAATTACTAGTAAAAAAATTGAAGGCAACATACCAAACTGATAGAACAGAAGTTTCAAGTTGTGGATTGGGTAACAGCCCGGAGAGTAAGACCATTAGCTCAAATGACCACCATTCAAGGCTACGATCATCAACATGAAAAATGATCATTATTGGAGAAAAAAAATTGGGAAATTGAAAGATTAAATCAGCATTCTAGTCCTAAATACGGAAGTTTCGGTCAATTTAGTCCTTCAATTTTACAAAATTGCAATTTGGTCTCTTAAATTGAACAACCTTGGTAGAGGGACTGCATTGGTCGACCCTTCTAATTTCGAGGACTGAAATGCTGATCTATCTCGTGGAAGAATATATACAAGTTGAGTTGAAGAGGAAGATGAATCACCAAACCATTACTGCAGAAGGTATAGCAAAGCGGAAAAACTCCCAAATTCCTTGGAACAGCTCCATAGAAATCGGAGCTCTAGTTTTTGCACATGAAGAAGAGTATCTCATGTACAATGCAAGAAAAATGACATTTAACCAAATGGAAATGCTCATTGCAATTGCTCCACCAATATTATTCAATCCTGTCTTGAAAACCAAAGCCCAACAAAGAGGTATATGGACAACAAGAGTGACACAAGAACTCAAAAGCATTGGAATAAGCAAGCTTTGTATTTGGAAATATCTAACTAGTGGTTGCAATATTGCATATGCAAAAAGTGCTGGAAGAAGCCAAATTGTGAATCTTCCTGCTTCGTGTGCAATTAGAGTGTCTTGTCCTGTGAAAACAAGTATGTTTTCAATGTTGATCCAAATGAAAGATAGTGGAAGACAAACTAATATGAGAGAAAAGATAGCTGTGTATGTTTGCATTCCTATTCTTTGATATTGTTTTGCTCCATAAGCTTGTCCACATGTGGTTTCTAGCCCACTAGCCATTCCCATCTGTTAGCACCAGTTAAATCACCAATGCATTCGGTAAGTTGGAGGGAGAAAATTGTTAAAATGAATTTATATCTCACTCTCAAAACCTTAATAGTAAGATAAGGGTGTTCAAACATATGTATATACAAGGTTCATAACTTAATTTTCTTAAACCGAAGTAGGACTACATTTATGTATGGCAAACGGGCATCCACATCCCCTTCCAGAAAAAAAGAAAATTAGACGGCGGACCCTTCTACTCCTTAAATTTAGAAATGAAGAAAAATTATATCCATAAAGAAAAATTATATCCATGTCGGTTACGTTTCGTCAGCCAAAGTCCGTCAAAAAACAAGAATGACGGGTGGGCCGGAAACTTTTATTATACCCGCCAAAGCCTCCCATAAAGGGGCACGGGACTGCGGCCCTACCATCCGTTACGGCTAACCATGACAAAAAAGTCAGATTCATATTGTTGATGGACTTGAAATAGATAGGTGGACTTGAAATCTTGGAAAAAAGGCAGCAACTTAAAAGGATGGATCCGGCGGACCTGAACTATTTTTTCACCCCTAACTTAATTATGTTAGAATATACAAAATTTCTAATAGTGAATTTATGGAGAGTAACTTAATTATGTTAGAACATACAAAATTTTTAATTGTGAATTAATGGAAAATTGAGTAAATTTGAAGAAGATGAAGGAGAGGGAGAGAGAGAAGAATAAGAATTGGTTAAAACTATTTTAGTATTCATTTTTTCAATAAGGATTTAAAAATTATAAGTGAATACTAACAATTAATTATTGAGAGAACTAGTATATCTATAGACTACTAAGCTAATTTAGGCTACAAGCTAATTTAACAATTGGGCTTACAACCAAGACTCAATTCGACATGCTAGCTTAAACACAAAGCTAACATATTTTGACAACATGTTTGAATAGACTTTGACTACAACATGCACAACTCATGTCGAACCATGAAGCTACCCTTGTCGGCACTAGAGTTCGATCTAAATACCACAAATCCCCACCTTAGAACAAACTTTATACTAACAAAGGAACATACTAGCTTTCATCATGCAGCTTTATCAACTGCATATAGTGGAAAAACTTGCTACTTGGCAATGTCTTGGTGATCATATCAGCAACATTGTTATTAGTCGGAACCTTCACCATTTAAACTTCTCCACGCTCGATTATCTCTCTAACGAAGTGCAGACTCACATCGATGTGCTTGGTTCACTCATGATAGGCTGAATTCTTCGACAAGTGTATAGCAATATGACTATCACATTTAACAGTGATAACTCCACTTTGAAGTTTCATCTCCTTATCAAAACCTTCGAGCCACAATGTTGCTTTCATAACTTCAATGAGAGAGATATATTCTGCTTCAGTGGTTGATAAGGCAGAAACCTTCTGAAGTGTTGCTTTCCAACTAATTGTTATGCCAAACATAGTGAACAGATATCCAGAAATAGATTTTCTAGAATCCATGCAACCTGCATAAACAGAGTCGACAAATCCTTCGATTTCGACTTTACTATCATCACCACAGGTTCCACCATAAATCAGGACTCTGCTCAGGGACCCATTGATGTACCTAAGAATCCACTTTAATGCTTGCCAGTGCATCTTCCCAGGATTGACCATATACCTGCTTACAAGACTCACTTTGTATGCTTTGTATGGCCTCGTACAGACCATTACATTCATCACCACAGGTTCCACCATAAATCAGGACTCTGCTCAGGGACCCATTGATGTACCTAAGAATCCACTTTAATGCTTGCCAGTGCGTCTTCCCAGGATTGACCATATACCTGCTTACAAGACCCACTCTATATGCTATGTATGGCCTCGTACAGACCATAGCATTCATCAAAAAACCTATTATACTAGTTTATAGAAATTGGTTTTCAACACACCACCTAATTACAGTTGTTCCAAGTCCAGCATGCTCAAACTTTTCTTCAACCTTTTGAACACCTCATTTGTTACCCTCTTGGTCAACAAATCTGCAACTTGGTCTTCGCTTCGACAATATCCCAATCGTAACCCGCCTTCACTCACTAGCTCCCTCAAATGATGAAACTACATCTCTATGTGCTTACTTCTTCCGTGTGCAATCGGATTCTTCGCAAGGTTTATTGCAAAAACATTATCAACCAGAAGCGTAGTAGTCTCACCCTCATTGCTACCCAACTCCTTCAATAGATTCATGAGCCATATAGCTTGACAAGCACACAACGAAGCCGCAATGTACTCGGCCTCACAAGATGAGAGTGCTACCACCGGTTCCTTCTTCGAACACCAAGAAATTGGTGTCCTACCAAGCATAAAGATGTATCCAACCGTTGACTTTCGATCATTCCTATCACCATACCAATTGGAATCGGTGAAACCAAGTAAATCACATTTTTGACTCGTATCCGATGCAAGAAAGAGAATTCCACAACCAAGAGTTTCTTTAATGTATCTAAGGATTCACTTGACTGCTGTCAAGTGAGACACCTTCGGTCTCTCCATGAATCTACTAACAATACCGACACTAAATGTCATGTCCGGTAGCGTATTGCACAAATACCGCAATGATCCATATATTGTGTTGAATCCACATCTTGCTCATCCTCACTCTTGGACAGCTGCAACCTTGCCTCACATGGTAATGGCAGCATTGCAATGCTCTATTTCACACCTCTTCAATATCTCAAAAGCATATCTCATTTGATGCATGAGCAGTCTCATTTTCGACTTATGGAACTTTATGCCAAGGAAATAGGTCACAATGCCAAGGTCAGTCATCTCAAACGCATCCATAAGTTCACTCTTGAACTTAGAGATACTCTTCTCACAGCTGCCGATAATCAATAGATCATCCACATATAAGCAAATAATGATCACACCGTCATTTGCATCCGATCTCACATAAACTCCGTGTTCGGACACACGCCGCTTGACACCAATATCACCAAGAAAGCCATCAATGCGTTTGTTCCAAGCTCTTGGAGCTTCTTTCAAACCATATAAAGCTTTATGTAATTTGTAGAACTTCATCTCTTAACTCTTTACTACAAATCCAGGGGGCTGCTCAACATAAACCTCTTTATCAAGTGGACCGTTCAAAAATGCAGATTTGACGTCCATTTGATATATCTCCCAATCGTTGTTATTCGCAATGCCAACAACTAATCGGATGGTTTCAAGCCTAGCCACAGGTGCAAACACTTCCTCAAAGTCTATACCTTCACGTTGCAAAAATCCATTCGCTACCAATCATGCCTTATGCTTACCATCTCGCCTTTGCGATTTGCTTTCACTTTCGCACACCAATGGACTTCTTTTCAAGCGGCAAATTGACCAACTCCCAGGTACCATTTTTTCAATAGATTTCAGCTCCTTTATTGCACAAATCCACTTTGAATCGCTTAGAGCCTCTTTCGTGTTCACCGGTTCAGATTCAGCCATAAGCGCAGAGTGAATGAAATCACCATCATCATTGATTTCGTTATCCCGGAATACTTCACATTCTTGGAGTCTCTGAGGAAAAACTCTTTGCCTTGTTGGTCGTCTAACATTTCCTCCGTTTTCGGCTTCGACATGTTGTTGTTTTGCACCTCCAGGATTCTGAAAATTCTGATTTTTCAACCCGTAACCGGTTACAGGATTCTCGTAACCGGTTACGCCTTCTGCAAAACCAGTTCTAGCAGCTTCAGAATCCAAAAATACACATGGTAATCGGTTACAACTTTTAGCTTAACCAGTTACAAGGCCTGCATCAACAATTTTTCTGCTGCTGTCAAGCTTTTGCAGCTCGTCGACCACACCATCTCGGCTAATCATGATCCTCTTATTTGCAACATCAAACAACTTATAACCTCCAGTAGGATGATAACCAACGAGTAACATCATCTCATCCTTGTCGTCCAACTTCTTTCGGAGCTGACCCGGAACATGTCGAAATGCTATCGAACCGAAAACTTTCAAATGACAAATGACTTAAGCTTGGTTTAAATCCAGACCATACCTCTTCTGGAGTCACCTTATCAAGCTTTTTTGTAGGGCACCTATTCAACAAATAGGCGGCTGTAGAAACGACTTTACCCCATAGTTCCTTCCGCAAGTCTTTACCCTTTATCATGCTTCAAACCATGTTCATTATCAAACGATTTTTTCTCTCGGAAATACCATTTTGTTGTGGCGTATAGGGTGGCACAATCTCATGCACTATCCCCTCTTCATCACAATACTTCCCAAACTCATTCGAGATATACTTATCTCCACCATCTGTTTTAAGATTTTTGAGCTTGTGACCACATTGCCCCTCAACCATGGACTTGAATCGTTTGAGCACATCAAATACCTCATCCTTCCTCTTGATTAGGTATATACATAGTTTCCTACTAAAATCATTGATAAATGTGACAAAATACCTATTGCCACCATACAAATCGACTTGCATTGGACTGCACACATCGGAATACACCACCTCAAGGTGATGTTTGGTCCTATGACCCGCATCCTTGCTGAAAATACTTTTGTGCGTCATCCCTTGCATACACTCTTCACATATCTCAATTGGAATGTTGATTCTTGCCAACCTGGTTACCATACCATCCCTTTGTAACGCGTCAAAATCACGAAAATTGACATGTCCAAGACGGTAATGTCATAACCACTCTTCTCAACTTGCCGTTGTAGCTAAACACCTATGCTCCATCACGTTCAACTCCACTTTGAAAGTCCTATTGGGAGCCATATGAGCCTTAAGGATCAAAACACCGTTTACATCCACAACGCGCAAGATCTTGTCTTCCAAGCGAATTTTGTAACCCCTCTCAAGCAATTGACAAATACTTAAGAGATTACACTTAATTCCTGAAATATAAAAAACATCCTTGATCATAGAATGTCCACCATTCTTCTTTTCGATCAAAACATCACTGACACCTTCAGCCGCAAGAGTGGTATCATCCGCGAATTTTACTCTACTTTTTGCAGCTTGATTAATTTGCACAAACCAATATTTTCTACCTGTCATATGTGTGGAACAACCGAAATCATTACGTTTTGCTCAGAACGCGTTTCTGCAGTATTTTTCGAACTGCTGCAGCTGCTGTCCCGCAATTTACAGCTGCTTCTGCTGCTGCCCAGCACCTCTTTAATGCCATAATTCTCCTCCGTGATCATAACTAAGAGCGTATTTTCATCATCTGCCTCTTGCCTCGCAACCTTAGCTTCATCGCTTTGATTCTCCCTTGGTCTCGCGCGACAATCTCTTGCGAAATGAGCAAGTCTATGACAATTGTAACACTTCGACATACTCTTGTCTAATTTTTTGAAGTTGTTTCCTTGACCACTATCTTTGGAGCTGCTCTTACCCTTTTGCATCATCGAAACCTTCAAATTTTGTGGATCATTTCCACCAAAATTCTGAGAATTTTACTTCCCATTCGAAGTCCATTTTCCTTTCGATCTTCTACTCTTCTCGTTAAGCCGTGCTTGCAAAGCAATCTCCGCTTTAACTTTATCGTTTCCTCTCTCATCCATCCTTTGTTCATGAGCCTCAAGAGAGCTTTGAAGCTCATCTTTGCTCAACGTCGCAAGGTCCTTCGACTCTTCGATAGCTACTGCAATGCTATCGAATCTTGACGTTAAAGAATCTTTGAAGCTCATAAACTATCGTAATCGATTACGAACCTGATACAAATAATTCTTAGGCCTTTTTTAACTCCATAACCGCTTACTAAAATGTCAAAAAAAAACTGATTTTTAACAAATTAGACTTCTAAAATATTAATCTCATAAGGAACAGTATATTATGTTGGTTTAAGTAAATAATTAATCCCTTAAGTTAATTTGGAGAACGCTACTTTACTTCTCTTAAATTCTGGTGACCCCCACAAATGGACGCATTGGTCTCTTAAATTTGTCGGGTCATAATGCATGATTCCAACTTTTCGAAATAAATAAATACTCGTCTAACTTCATGTTCATTCTTTCATTGTCCCAGCCTCTTCATTAGTCCAATTTAAATTATTAATTATATAAGCCTAAAATCAGCTAGAAAAAAACACTTATGTGTGTCCACAAAATCAAAACAACTTCATATTTTCTTCTACACTAAAAAACAAAACACATTTTTCAATTTTCATAAAAATAAAAATTAACCTAATCTCCTACTAATATACAATTAATTAAATAAAATAGAAACCACACAAACAAGATAGTATAAAAAATGCAGAAAGTACACGTTACCAGGAAGCTGAAACCAGTAACACCGGCGAAGGAGATAGACAAGGCGGCGCTAGAGAGATAGAGTTCCCCCAAATGACCAACTATCATGGTAGAAACAACCTGCAACAAATACTGCGACAAAACCACCGCTACCATAGGACCTGATAAGTAACAAATCCTCTCCATTTCCTTCAAGTAAATATCCTTACTAATTCCCTTCTTCTTCCTCTCTTCTTCTCCATGGCTATCTGTTTTTGGATAAATCTCTTTTCCTAACAAACTCTCTTCCATGGCGGTTCTATCTTCAGCCATATTGAAAGAATACACAAGTTTGGTCTATGAGTCACTCTTACTTGGCTGTCATTTTATAAACCTCAATATAATAATACTATTATTTAATCCGTTACGCACTGATTTCTTTTTTTACGGACTGCATTATTTGAAATCGATGTATTTGGCATCTTAATCAATTGGTTAATTATTGATCCATAGTATACATGCATATACAATGTTTTTGGTCAAGAATAATAGTAATTTTTATGTATGGTATATGTCAACAAATTAGATGTATTTAATATATTTAAGTTAATTATGTCTTAAATATTTTTTATTAGTTTTGATGTTGACTTTTTTAGAATTTTTTACCCGAATAATATATATTTTTTAAATTTTTAAAATAACTCACATTTTAAAATTATTCTCAAAGTATCCTAGTTAGAGTTTGGGATTACACAAAGTCGCCAGATGAATTGGCGACACCTTGTTAAGACTATAAGGGATTCACCAATTAGTCTGAAGACTCCTCATTCAGTCTCCATTCCATTTGGCGACGGAGTGTTGTACTTATAAAGGTGTTGTCAATTCATGGTATCTTAATTTTTTTTTAAATAAATACTTCCAAAAATAATTAATAAAATAAGTCAGAGGGGAAAATAAATGTTGTCATTAATTAAAAAAAAATATTACATAAATTAATGTGGCGACCGGGTTGGTCATACCAACCACCAGTTCCACATCCCCTAGGCATCCTAACTCGTTGCGCTCGTCCCCCTCGCTATTAAAAATAATTTTTGGCGTAGTGCTAGATGGTTCCCGAAGGATCTCTTGCATTTCCATTAGATCATGTGTGTTGAAACTGAGTGTGTGACCCATGTCAGAGTAGTTCGGATGTGATGAATGGGTCATTAGTGTGCGGCTTGGACGGTTGAAGGGGGACACTGATGTGAATGATTCGTTGGTGAAAGGTTGAAATGGTAGTGGTGTTTGAAAGTCATAAGATTGTTGAGATGGTTGAGTGCGTAGGCCAGGGTATGATTTCAGAGCGTTTTGGCTATGGAAAGATGTTTGGGCGTTATGGCTATGGTACGATGTACCCTCGTTATGACTATATCTTAATGTTGTGTTGGGGTCATAGCCATATTGGGATTCTGTATAGTAGTTAATGTGTGGGAGATGGTATGGGAGACGTTCTTGGTATTGTGGTTGGGTGTTTGGCATGTTTGGATGGTGAATGGGTTGGTAACTCTATTGGATATGGGGTTGTGAGTAACATGGCCTTTCTGGTGGGTTAGACGTTGAAGTGTCTTGTGTGTAGGTGGTTTGGCGTGGGTCGTATAAATATCTGTCTTCGGAGACAAACCCAATTGCAACCGATCTGTACCAAACCATATAATTAATAGTTGGTATAAATGGTGTTACCCACCAGAGGCTTCTCTCTCTCGAATAGACAACTTTTCTCCACCGACGATGATACATGTTATCAGCAGAACAAAGATATCAGATGAAATGTGAAAGTAAATGATCAGAACACCTCTATTTATAGAAAAAAATTCAAAATACAACGGGTCTCCAGATGAATTGGCGACACCCTTGTAAGTACAACACTCAGTCACCAATTGGATTGGAGACTGCATGAGGAGTCTCTAGGCCAATTGGTGACTCCTTTATAGTCTTAACAAGGTGTCGCCAATTCATCCGGTGCCCTTGTGTAAACCCAAACCCTAACTAGGGTACTATGAGAATAATTTTGAAATGTGGGTTATTTTGGGAATTTTTTCCAAAAATTGGGTTATTTGGGTAAAAAATTCGACTTTTTATGGAATTGCATGTTTTATTTTAATTTTATTTTTTGAAATATTAGAAATAATGTTTGTTACTATTTTATTCTGTTTATTGATTATTATGCATACAAATCACTCACAAGTTAATAATTTATACTACCTCCTTTCATTTTTATAAGAAACAATTCATTTTTTTAGATTTATTAAATAATCAATGTATATAGTTTATAAACAAACCAAATACATTAATTATTCAATGAACCTAAAAATTAATTATTTCTTATATAAAGGAACAAAGTAGTACTTTATAAATAAATATTCTTTAAAGGACATATTTGGTAAAAAAAATATAGATGTGCATGTTATCTTTACGAAGAGCAGAGATGTGTAAATGTCTTAATAGGTATATTACGTTGTATGGTGGTGAAGCCATGTACGATGGTGTTTTTGGTGGTTTAAAAGAACCTGCTCACATGAGGTGATAGGCTAGGTGTGAAACGTCGTGTTTTGGGTAATATGTGTTCGTTAGGATCTGTCCCCTCTCCCCTATGGAGAGAGATATTTATAAAGGCAATCGCTCCCTCATGACCAGGGGAATTGTTGACCACTTATTCTTCAAGGAATCGTGGTGGACTCTCTTTCCTCTGACCAATGGTATTATACACGTCGTTAGTGCCATGGGCGGACCCCTTTGTTCTATAAGGATATTGCATAGGCAACATCACTCTTAGGTGAGGACACCTGAGTCGTCCTTTATTTAGGGCTCTCACAAATATAACACTAGATAACCCCTCAAGCATGAGGATTTTTCTAAGGGAAAAGTATTTTCAATGAATATTTCATTTGTGAGGTACGTCCCTCATCCTGTGGAGAATCCTTCAACTAAGGCGATTTTTTATTAAGAGGCGAGTCTATTAGTTGAATGATATTTTTTATTAAGAGGTGAGTCCTCTAGCTTAGGGCAAGTCCCCCAACTGAAAGCGATTTTTAATTGTGTAAGCCCTTAATTGAGAGATGAGTCATATTCAGGATGTCTCTTGATTAGATACAAATGTCAATTGAAAATGCCAATCAATCATTCAACTGGTTATACTTACTTTTATCTTTTTTTTGTAAATAATAATGTCCTTTTCGAAGCCTTAAACGACAATGGCATATGTTATAAATTATTAAATTTTATAAAGCTCAATATAATAAGTATAAGTTAAGAGATAAATATAGTAAGAAATTCTTGAAAATTGTATATTAAATTTAATATGATCTTATAATTAATGATTTTATTATTCTTTTCGATACAAATTTTTTATTTATAAGTTTATTATCCATATAATAATACTTATATTCAATTTGTCACTCTTTGATTTCTTTTGTTTTACTAACTGCGTGTAGTTTGGCATCTTAATCAATAGATTAATTATTAATCCATAGTATGCATAGTACATACATATACTATGAGCTACGAGATCTGCATAACCATATCTCTAAGGTGACTTGATGAATCTTCTTTCCAGTAGGTAGTCATTATAAGTCTCCTCATCTTCAATAGAAACTTAAGATTCTTCTTTAACTTCATCTAGGTTATACAATTCAGTATCACTATGCTCCACCTCAACAGGAATTTCTTCCTGTTCCAGCTCTTCTTCAGAGATCTTTGAATTTTGACCAATGTCATCAGTTTTCTTAAAAGTCATCTCAGCTTCATTGAAAACTACATCTCTACTTGTGATACACCTCCTGTGACCTGGCTCTAGGCACCATATCCTATGAGTTTTGACTCCTTCTGGATATCCAAGGAACATACATCTCAGAGCTCTAGATTCGATCTTGTATTGCCTAATATGAGCACAGGCTAAAAAACCAAATACTCTAAGTCTGTCAAGACTAGGTGGATGTCTCAACTAGACTTCTTCAGGTGTCTCCATTCCTAAGGCTGTCGAGGGACACCAATTTATCAAGTATGTTGCAGTCACAACAACTTCTGCCTAAAACACCTTCTTCAATCCTGAACTTACCTACATAACCCTCAGCCTTTCCAGAATGTTTTGATTAAGCATTTCAGCCAAACAATTTTGTTGGGGAGTCCCTGCAGTAGTTATGTGCCTAACAATACCATATGCAACAAAATAGTTGTCAAAAGTATCTTTGCAAAATTCAAGACCATTGTCGGTCCTCAACCTCTTGAACTTCCTTCCAGTTTGGTTTTCAACTAAGGTCTTCTAACTTTTGAAATTTTCAAAAGTTTCATCTTTAGTCTTCTGGATGAATACCCATAACTTCTGGAATAATCATCAACTATCGATTGGAAATACTTTGCACCTGAGTATGAAGGATTCCTTGCAGGCCCCAAAGATCATCATGAATGTAATCAAGGGATCCATGTGTTCTTTGTTTAACTTTGTTAAACTTCATTCTACAGGATTTACCAAATACACAAGGTTCATAAAAATCTAGTTTTTCAACCTTGTCACCACCCAGCTGATTTTGTTTCGACAATTCAACCAGACCTCTTTCACTGACATGGTTAAGTCTCTTATGCCATAGCTCAATCTTCGACACAGGTTTTGTGGATGTCGCATCTGCTGAACCACTTTCAACCTCAACCTCAAGGGTATACATGACTTGTTTCTTCACGCCTCTCAAGACTTCCTTCGACCCCTTAATTACTCTTATGATACTCTGTTCTCTTTGAAAACACGTCCTTTTTTGTTGAATTCACCAAGAGAAATCAAATTTCTCTTAAGATCAAGTACATACATGACATCAATCAATAGCCTTATTGACTCATCAAGGAGCTTGAATCTCACATATACAATACCTGTAATTTTGCAGGCTTTATTATTTCCCAACAACACTGGTTCACCATCTTGGTCACACAATTCCTCAAACACGTCTTTCTTTGGATTCATGTTCCAAGTACACCCTGAATCCATAATCCACTCATTTCTAGAGTCATTGCTTGAAACCACCAGGATATCGACTAAGTCATAACCATCTTGCATAATAGTTGCATTACCATTATCCTTTCCACCATGATTGTTCAGTTGATAAAGAAATACTTTTTTTGTATGACCCTCATTCTTACAATGATAACACTTAATAGTAGGAGCATTACCAACATAAGAATTTTGTATAACTTTACCCTTTTTCTTCTCAAACTTACCATCTTTCTTCAAGAATTTCCCTTTGACGGATAAACCTTCACCAACAGAAGATGGCTTGTGCTCCTTTCATTCGTTTAAATCCTAAGAGTAC